GCTGAGATTTTCCTCAGCATGGACCACCCGCACGTTGCAAGGCTTCCTGGGTTGAAGTCTCTCGTCTCTCGGTGTGCCATGTCTCTCTTACTCTCCCTTTTGCTCTCTTAACTCTCGTCGCCCTGTCGGTTCCTGGAGTCATTTACTTGTTGTCGGTGTAGTTTGTAAGTACCTCTCTCTCTCTCGCTACCCCTCGGCATCACCCAATAGTTATTCCAGATCTTCTGATACTCCTGTCCAGCCAGGCTAGTCGCAGTTTACGAGGACGAGAAGATGCTCAACCTCGTCCGCCCCTTGTTATGCTTGATGCAGCTGTCTCTTCGCAGAGTGGGCGCGGACTGATCTTGGCATGAACCTTGAGAGGCCATGGATTAACTTTTCTTGAAATACAAGCTCGCACTAAGAGATAGTTCGGTCACGTTCGGCCCTGTGTAGACATCAAGAGCCACCACGGACACGGTTGGCCCAGCACGGATCGCTGTCGCCACCCTGTTGGCAATTGGCGTTGTATTATTCTCGTCTTCCTCGGAGATCAGACGTCTGGTTTGTTGAGTGCGTGGACCTCAGAAGTCCCCAGGCGGGGTTTATTCCCGGAAAGGGCGGGGGCCCAGGGTTATTTTTTAGAGGTTTACCCTCGGTTTCGACTTGAAGGAGGCCGGCGGAATTAGTTTGCGACAAATGACGAGTTTGAAGGAGGTTGGCGGAATTATGTTTGAGGATGTCTTGAGCGAAACGCTTGTTTTTCAGAATTTGTTGAGGATGTCTCGAGCGAAACGCTTGTTTAGTGTTATAGATTGCCCTCTCCTGGGGACCAGAATTCAGAGGATCTCTGAAGTGAAATGCTTGTTTTCACGTGCCCAGGTCTTGAGGATGTCTCGATTGAGACGGTTGGTTTCACGCCTCCAGGTTGCCCAGGCAGAGGTCTAGCGCCAGGATTTGTTGAGGATGTCTCGAGCAAGACGCTTGGTTTCACGCGCCCTCGTCGCCTAGGCGGATGTCTAGCATGAGGATGTGTTGACGAAGTCTCGATCGAGATGCTTATTTGCACGTATCCAGGTTGCCCAGGCGGATGCCTAGCATGAGGATGTGTTGAGAATGTCTTGAGATATACGCTTGTTTTCACGTGTCCAGGTCGCCCAGGCGGATGTCTAACATGAAGATGTGTTGAGGATGTCTCGAGCGAGACGTTTGCTTTCACGTGTACAGGTCGCCCAGGCGGATATCTAGAATGAGGAGGTGTTGAAGTCGTCTCGAGCGAAACGCTTGTTTTCACGTGCCCAGGTCACCCAGGCGGACGTATCACATGAAGATGTGTTGAGGATGTCTCGAGAGAACCACGTGTTTTCACGTGTCAAGTTCGCCCAGGCGGATGTCTAGCATGAGAATGTGTTGAGGACTTGTTGAGCGAAACGCTTGTTTTCACTTGTCCAGGTCGCTCAGGCGGATGTCTAGCATGAGGATTTTGACAGGATGTCTCGAGCGAAACGCTTGTCCCCAGCACGTTCCGTAGCGCGTCCCCTTGGCACGTCCCACGGTGCGTCCCCATGGCACGTCCCCTGGCACGCCGCTTGGCGCGTCCCTTGAGACGTTCCGCGGCGCGTCCTCCTGGCATGTCCCCCTGTCAATTAGCTCTGGGGCAGCTATTATGTGTTCAGGCACCTCGAGCTGAAGGTCCAGATCAGTTCGGTCAGGACTCGGGTGCAAAGGAGGACTCGATCGACAACGCTATGGAGCGCAATCGCGGCATGGCACATCGCAATTCAGCACGGCGCAGCACAGCACAGACTTCGGCACGGTACATCAAGATCGATCCACTCAGCATTGCAACTTGGCACGTTACTTGGCACGTACCGTGGGGCGTCCCTTAGCGAGTCCCCCTGGCACGTCGTGTGGCGCGTCCCATGGCACATCCCGTGGCACATCCATTGACACGTTCCGTAGCGCGTTCCCTTGGCACGTCCCGCGGTGCGTCCCCATGGCACGTCCCCTGGCACGCCGCTTGGCGCGTCCCTTGGGACGTTTCGCGGCGCGTCTTCCTGGCATGTCCCCTTGCCAATTAACTCTGGGGCAGATACTATGTGTTCAGGCAGCTCGAGCTCAAGGTCCAGATCAGTTCGGTCAGGACTCGGATGCAAAGGAAGACTCGATCCACAACGCTATAGAGCACAATCGCGGCATGGCACATCGCAATTCAGCACGGCGAAGCGCAGCACAGACTTCGGCACGGTGCATCAAGATCGATACATTCCGCATTGCATTTGCCCGTCACCCAATCAGGTGTCTTTGAAAACGCTGCCACGCGTTACATTCTTATATTCATTTCCGGGTTCGTGGGTCGATCATGTTTTTGGTGCATTTGGTGTTGGACCCGGATCCCGAAGACGGCCACTGGAATGGCGAAACACCATCGAAACATGTCCGTATTGTTTGCGTCTTGTCCGCATCCATCTGAAGGTGTTGTATGCCCACGTGTGCCAACACGAAGGTGTATCTTCTCTCTCTCTCTCTCTCTCGCTGCCCGATGCATCTAGCCATTTGGGCTCAGGCGCTCGGCCGATTTTGAACAGAGCGGTTGGGCGCAGATGCTGGCCCTTGGGCCGTACACCCTCGACGTCGTGCAGCGGCGGGCCCGCAAGTTGATGCACGAACACGATATCCTCGGCCTGCGCCTGGCGCTGCAGGCGGACGAGACCGAAGTCGAGGGAACGCTCGAGTAGTGTGCGGCGGCCCTGGGTTTCAGCGTGGAGGGGGGCAGGGCGGCCGCTGGGGAAGTCCATGGGCCAGACAGTAATGGAGCAGGCAGTGCAGGAGCGGTTGAGGGCGTTCCATGGCAGCCCTGAACGGGCCGTGTTGGAGGGTGCCATTGCGTGTTTCATGGTTGCGGGCTACCGAAATCTCCGCCGCCGAAGGCCCGCGCGATGGCGGGGATCCGCTTCGCTCGGAGGTGCCGCGCGGCAGAGGAGGAAAACCGTCATGGGTTGGAGGCGCAGGGGTGGATTCGCTGGGGACCTCAGCTGGTCGCGCTGCTCGAGAGATGGAAGCGCCGTCGCTGCAGACGGCGCGGTCCTGCATCTAGCGGGGCGGGGCACAGGGTGCCACCGATGTTGCTTATGGTATCCCGTGAGTGCTACATGTTGGCTTAGTATGGAAACGCATGGGTCTGTAGAAGGAAATCGCGGACTTCGGGGGGGGGCATTTCCTGCCGCGGCGCGACGACGCGGGGCAGCAGGTGGCCCGCGAGCCCGCGGGGCAAGCAGAGGCGGCTGCGGCCGACCAGGAGGCACTCCAGAGGACGCTTAAGCCAGCGGCCTGAACAGGCGAAGTGGTCGATCTCCTCATCCCCGAGGAGGTCGCGAGGGTCTGGACAGAGCGTGCGGAGCGGGCGACGATCCTTTCGGCAGCTGGCGATGTGGATCCCGAAGAACGAGCGCGACGACCAGGGCTGGTGGTCGCCAGAAGGCGCCCCGAAAATTCCAGCAGCGGTTCGCGGCGGCGTTGCGTTCTGGGAAGGCCTGCGCGGAGCTGGGCGCGGCGGCGGCGGCCACCCGGACCCGGCGAATTGGCTGGAGTTGAGGAGGAATTTCTCGGCGCAGGATGGGGCGACGGCGGCGGCTGAGACCTGCGCCGCCCTCGGTCTGCGCGGTAGGATTGGCCGCGGCGCCTGAGGACAACGAGGACTGGGCGCTGGGTCGGCAAGACGTGGAAGACGCCGCGCCACCGACGGGGGCAGCAACGCCCCAGCGAGAGGGCATGGGCCAGGGGGTGGCCATGCCAACGCTGACGACGGCAGCTGGGTAAATTTTCATATTGGAGACGGAGAACAGCAGCCCCCCCCTCCGTCCCCGAGAGCAAGGGCGTCGAGGAGGCAGCTGCCCTGGCGCGCGCGCGAGGAAGCGCCGGATGGCCGCGCAGTCGGAGGCCGCGGCCGGGCGCCCGGCAGGGCGCCGCTGAGCTCCGAGCCCGAAGGGCTGCGACATGGCCAGCCAGAGGCGGCGGCGCCTCATCTCGGCCAGCGGCGAGGGCGGCCCGAACAGATCATCGAGCTCCTCTAGCTCCGATGAGTCCGAAGAGACAGCACTAGGCAAGGCAGCCAGCGGCGGGGGTCGCCAACAGCGGCAGGCGCCCGATGACACTTCGGGGCAGTAGCGCGCCAGCCCAGTGACAGAGCAGCCCGGGGGGCGCCTGCAGCCGCGGCGCCCTGCGCGACCGATCGGAGCGGGGGCCCCGCTCGGGCGCAGGCAGTCAGTGAGGGGCTGCGCCCGCGCGCCGACGGGGCGCCGGCCCGGGGGCGCGGCCCGCGCAGGCGTTGGCCGCGGACGGCCCCGCGAGACGGGCCCGAAGACACCCGCCCCGCCCGCGGGCTCCTCCGCCCGCCGCGGGCGGGAGGGTGCTCTGGCGGGGAAGGGCGCCATCGCTTTGGGCTGGGCCCCGCGGCGGGCGGGCGGGGCTTCGCTTGCGCACGGCGTGTCGGCGTCGCCTTGCCGACGGCGCAGATGGCGGGGGCCGAGGCCCGCGCGGTTCTCGGCGCAGTCTAGCCGCGGCGAGAACCGGCGCGACTCGCGGCAAGGGGCGGCTGCGCAGCGCGCCGCCGAAGGCGCCCGCGGAGGAGGGGGAGGGGCGGGGAGGGGGGAGGAGGAGGAGGAGGAGGAGGAGGGGGGAGAAGGAGGAGAAGGAGGAGGAGGAGAAGGAGGAGGTGGAGGAAGAGGAGGAGGAAGAGGAGGGCAGTGCGCTCGCATCGCCAGGCTCGGACCCGCGCTTCCCCCTAGCGAGGGGGGGCGCGCCGCCGAATGCGCCCCGCGGCGCGACGGGCCCAGGCAAGTGGGGGCGCGCCGAGCACGCGCTCGAAACGGGCGAAACTGCTGGGGCGGTGCCGCGCGCGAAGGCGGCCGCGCTGACGCACCGGCGGCGGGGGGCGCGCGCGGATCGAGCAGCGGCAGGAGACGGGGCGAAGCCGGCGCCCGCCAAGTGGCCAAACCATTGCGAGCGCAACCGGTCACGAAGCGATGCATCTGACCTCCGATGGGGAGTCCGCGGAGTGCCAGGTGCCGGCGAGATCCACCTCGAAGCTGCAACTCCCAGATGGCCACGGGCGACCCGAAGCGGCGCCGCTTCCTCCGCGAGCGTTCGCTCCGCTTCCCAGAGGTCCTAGAGTTGCAAGGTTTACGTTTGAAAGATAATATATTGATTACAGATGTGCTTGATTGCAAGTTTTATTTTCTACGTTTGTAAGATAAAATTTGTCATTCTTATCATATACATATTTTGCTATCTCTGGATATCTCCATCTATGTATACAGCTGGAGCCCGAAAGCCTCATAAGGCCAGCGGCGGGGGGCGGAGGG